TTTTTTCGAAGTTTCTCAAGAACCATTTGAGCCACAGAATTCTTTTTGGCATCGTTGAATAGAGAATTGAAAACTCGATTCAGCCGTAACAACGCGAGTGAGGAAATTTTAGTAGTTTTGACCCAGAAAGCAACATTTGAATATCAGACACTTAGGTACAAGATTATGCCAAAAATTCCATGTTTTCCGTCCCGTTTTTGCTCATATCTCGGAGGCAAAATGAGCACGAACGCTCATTTATACATCATTCTAGAGAGAAATAAATGGCCTTTTTAGAAAGGGAACCATCGATAAGGAAATGTTGGCAGTTTTCTCAAAAAATGCTTGAACTCAAGAAGTTTTAGATTTGCGTGGTTTTTTTTTGAGTTGCAAAATCCACTTGAACATGATGCTGCTTTTTTCGAAGTTTCTCAAGAACCATTTGAGCCACAGAATTCTTTTTGGCATCGTTGAATAGAGCATTGAAAACTCGATTCAGCCGTAACAACGCGAGTGAGGAAATTTTAGTAGTTTTGACCCAGAAAGCAACAAAAAAATTATAATATAATTATAATATAACAAATAAATTGCCCCTTCAGCGCCAAAAATAGGCAATATTCTCAATTACCGTTATTACCTCCACACGTGGACCTGGGAAAATGCGCCTGTCACGAACATAGCAAGTAAGCGAACCCATTGTTTAAAGGGATTAATTTGCAAATTGTTTTTTAGACGCTTGAACTGAGGTTAATCGGCCCCACTTTGATAGTGGCAGGACTGCTATGCTGCATAATCCGAGTGCTACTCTGTGCCTGTCCGCCGTCCTGCTTCCGCTCTCGAACGAAAACGAAGATGAAAGATTCCTGCTCGCATCGAAACAGCCGGTTCGCATCCGCACTTCATCCCCTGCTCGGTCACTGGCTGATTCTTGCATTTTTTGCTCTAGACGCCGCCTACCACAACGATACCCGGAGGCTGCCGACCAGGCGGACTTTGTTCCTGCAGACAAAACGGCGCTGCTGCGCAAACACACCCGGAAAAAAGTCTCAATCGTGCCGCCAAACTACAGTCTCCCGAGCACCAGTACCAGTGAATTTAAAGAGTTGCCTTCTCTGCACTTCGAGCAAGA